TATTAAAATGTTTTGTGTGTGAGGCGGGGGGGGGGGGGGGGGGGGGGTATTCCAGAAAGCAGGTTATGTGACATATGTTTAAGGGTAAGTAAGCCGATAAACTCAGCATTCGGTAACTTTCAGGGTATGTAAGGAGCCATAGCAACTTACTCTCTGAACATAACCTGCTCCAGAGTAGGTTATGGTCCAGGGTTAGTTTACTTCAGAGCATGCATATTGATGAGACTCCAGTGGGCGTGACAGATGGCGCATATTATTATATATTATTACAACATAGTTATATATATATATATATATATATATATAATAAAGCACTATTATACGTAATATTTAAGGTATTATTTAAGTTGTATTTGATGTATATTAATTATAAAGCACTATTATAACAATATTTATTTATTCTAATATATTTATTATATTAGATATATTTATTTTATTGTCATCTCACACATGGATCTGCATTCAAACGTTTTTTTTTTTTTTTAAGTAAAAATACAGTATCATAGGTCTTATTAATCTTTTTTACGTCTTATTCATGTGTTTTTCTCAGTTGTTAACGATTAAAGATGAAACTAAAAGTTTGAAAAATGATTGCACAACCACCAGTTAGGTGCCGATATGCACTTGGAATGTAAATAGCCATTGAAAAAACGAAGAAGAAAGAAGCAGTATGGCACGCTTTTTCTTAGCATCTGTTTCCATGGTATAACTCGTCGATTCGTCGCTTTGTTGAGAATGTCTTGTGTGTTAACCGTGACTGAACTTACTCCCTGGAGCATTTTTGGAACCAGCATACATCAAGTAAGCAAGGTTTGGGTTAATCAACTGAGAGTTCAGAGGTATATGTGACGGTAAGTTAACTTTGCTTTCTGGAATACACCCCTGCTGGGACTTTATTCACATGCTCCCAAGTATATTTTACAGTTCGCACGCATCTAGTTTTAGTCACAAATGTGAGTAAAATGCTCACACTGTTGAACCTTGCTCAAATGGAATCTGATGTGCATGGAATTTCATTTTATCCTGCATATTCCTTTTCAATAAACTGAATTATTAATAATTCATTTTCAATTCTGACCATGATATTTTGGGGCCTTATTGAAAATTTTGTTAACTGATATAGAAGCATCTGAGAACTCAAACTTCTATATAAAAACTCAAAGACACTATTGAGTTTTGAGCTGTGCTACAGGGGTGATATTCATTTTTAATGGCTTTTCAAGAATGTTTTATTTGAAATTCTTGACATCTAAGATGGGCAATCTCAGGCCTGCTTTGTGTTTCAAGGCATAAATCTTTCAGTTTGTCTACAAAATATCCACAAGTTCCTATTCCGTTTTAACTTGAAATGTAATAAAGTGCATGTATGGTCAGTTGGCACGGCAGTCTCATCCTAACCAATCACCTTTCTGTTTGCCCCTTCAGTTCTTTCAAAACGGAGACCCACAAGCCCACACACAGACTGGAGCCAGTCTGCCAGGCCGAAACCTTCCTGGACAAAGACTACTGCTTACCGCAGAGCACAGGCTACAACTACCTGGACCCCAACTACTTCCCTGCAAACAGATGACAGGGACAAGCTCCGGCGCTAGTATCCAGGGCTGGGCCACAGCCCCCAGGGCATTCTGTGCATGGCTTCATCATCCAAGTCAAAGAAATGCTTACATTTGGGCGAGAGGGTACCGCAGATGGGCCGCACCTCGCCCCGACCCGCTGCTGGAGGGGGGTGGGGTGGGGGGGGGTTCATGGGAGAGGGGGCAACACTCTGCCACGTTTGTCAAACCTTACCAGGTCTCGTCAAGTAACACTATCTCAAATCAAAAGAAACGAGAGGAAAGAACGAACAAAAGAAAAGGCACACCGACATTCCCAATCCCAGGACATTTAGAAGGCAACCCGACGCCTCCCTTTGTTCCGCTGTTTGAGTGACGGGCGTCAGTGACGCACCTCTCAGAGGAGTGCGCGGCTCTGGATTCATCGGCGGGAGCGGGGTTGGGCTCGCGTTAAAGTGCATAATGTCGTCTGTAGTTGAAATATTTATAAGTGAGGCTTCGTGTGTGAGCTCTTTTCGTGAGACGGGAGTACAAGGAAATGAATTTGGTGCTGAGACTGTCGTCTTTGATTCATACCAGGTTTTTAACCAATCGAGGAGGTTCGCTCACAACTCGAAACGGGTTAATAAAAATCCCGGCTGACAGACCCCATAAGTGTCTCTTGCCATGGGCTACCATTTTCACTAGAAGCTGCTCTTTGTTTCCTCTTACGATGATGTTGTCACTTTATTTACGTTCATTTCTCGTTTTTTAAATTATGCCGAATTAAAAAAGCCACTCCACTTGACCCAATAGGATCCCAAACCTCAAAGCACTACAGCACAGAGAAGACCAGCTGAGATCCGGAAGGCGTTATAGCGCTCTCTGCGCTCGTGGAGAGCCTTGTTTTCTTTTCTCAATGTGTACTGTTGTTGATCATGTGGAGTATTCAAATATATGGTGAAAAGTAGCCAGTGGTAGTTGCCGTGTGCCATTTTTTTTTTTTCTTCCCTGTCCAGTTGATTCAAACCTGGCCACTTGTTTTAGAAGAAGAAAATAAAGAACTTGCTGCCCTCTGTGAAAAACTGCCCAACCATCATCACGCCTTTAGATCCCTCTAATTTTTGCAGTTTCCTCACGGTCCATGAAAAGATTGTATTTTTATTAATCTATTTAAAAGATGAAGAATAACAAGAAATCGAGTTGGTGGTAGTCGTCGCACGTGCGCCGCACTCCCACGTTATTTTATACACATGCATTTCGTTGTGCTTTGAGTAGACCATTTTGTATTGGGTTCTGTTCTGTTCTGTTCACCTCCCCTCCCTTGACCTGCTTCAATATCTGTGTATAACAGTCTGTTCTTAAATAATGTAAAAAAAAAAATGTTAGAGGAGAACCGTGGAAATAAAAGTATGTGAAAAGACTTTCTACACCACATGACTTGGGTATTATGATTTGTCTTTCTAGTTCACTTCAGCTAATAAGTTGGATTTAAGGTAAGACTAATAAGGTTTGTTAGTGACAGTTATTTTTAGGGTTGAGATTCTGTCACACTTCAGCCACCTGAGGGTGGTACGTTATTGTCAATGTGTGTTACAGTCCATTGGTTTCTGAAATGAAGTGACATTGTCATTGTATTACATGGTTATTAACTTGCACCTAATGAATGGATATAAGAAAATCAAAATACTCCCTTCAGCCATCTCTGATAGTGGTCGACTCGTATCTTAGAAAGCAGGATGGCTGATATAGATGGTATCACACTAATAAAAAGCTGCATTCAGTAGTTTGCTGCTAATTTAAAAGGTTTTGCGCATTAATAAATTGTGATTTGTGAAGAGTCATCTGAATGGTGTACACTGACATGAGATGAAGACTGTACTCCAAAGAGTTTTCTATTTAAAATGTTTTAATTATACATGGTTGTGGGTCGCCCTGTATTTTGCCATATTGAAATGAGGTTTCACTAAGCATCTGAGTGATTCATTACACTAATTGGTTGCCACCTCTGTCGATATGCTAGTAAATGGCTTCTAGAACTGAAAATAATGTAGGCGCGACTTGATTTTTCCATCGGGAACTGATTGGATAGTTGGATCTCATGTGAGTGACAGGTTGTTGGAAGGAAGACAAAATGTACTTTAGTACAGTAACAGTAAAAATCCTGTCTAGTATACATGTTTTCATATGACATGCTTCACTACATATGAGACCCTGGACCACAAAACCAGTCATACAGGTCAATTTTTCAAAATTGAGATTTATACATCATCTGAAAGCTGAATAAATAAGATTTCCATTGATGTATGGTTTGTTAGGATAGGACGATATTTGGCCGAAATTTGAAAGTGAAAGTGACATGGCCAAGTATGGTGACCCATACTTGGAATTAGTGCTCTGCATTTAACTCATCCAAAGTGCACACACACACCCAGAGCAGTGGGCAGCCATTTTTTTTGCTGCGGTGCCCGGGGAGCAGTTGGGGGTTTGGTGCCTTGCTCACTCCCCCCACTTACAATCCCTGCCGGTATGAGACTCAAACCCACAACCTTTGGGTTACGAGTCCAACACTCTAACCATTAGGCCACGATCCCCCTATTTGAAAATCTGGAATCTGAGGGTGCAAAAAAATCTAAATACTGAGAAAATCACCTTTAAAGTTGTCCAATTGAAGTTCTTAGCAATGCATATTACTTATCAAAAATTAAGTTTGTATATATTTACGGTAGGAAATTTACAAAATATCATGGAACATGATCTTTACTTAATATCCTAATGATTTTTGGAATAAAAGAAAAATCGATAATTTTGACCCATACAATTTTTTTTGGCTATTGCTAAAAATATACCCCAGCGACTTAAGACTGGTTTTGTGGTCCAGGGTCACATATATGCTAATTTTGGTGCTGCTAGAGAAAACTGCTTGCAACACCGTTTTTCACCTTCATACCCACACATACTATTAAAGGAAGAGTTCACCCAAAAATGAAAATGTGCTGAAAATGTAGTCAGCTCCAGGCTGTCCGAGATGTAGACGAGTTTGTTTCTTCATCAAAACAGATTTGGATAAATTTAGCGTTACACCATCACTTGCTCACCAATAGATCTTCTGCAGTGAATGGGTGCCGTCAGAATGAGAGTCCAAACAGCTTATAAAAGCCACAGTAACCCACAAGTAATTCACACAACTCCAGGCCATCAATTAACATCTTGTGAAATGATGCATGTAATGAACAAATCCATCATTTTATCATTTTCATTTTTTATCATTCCATCATTTATCCAGACGACACAACTTTTTCACTTGAGAGAACAGTATTATGGATAGGAGTCATATTTTAGTAACAGTCTGAAGTTAAAAACATCTCAATGATGGCCTTATTACAAACACGCAGCTGTTTCACTTCACAAGTTGAACTGGAGTTGTGTGGGTTACTGTGATGTTCTTATCAGCTCTCATTCTGACGGCACCCATTCACTGCAGACGACTCGTTGGCGAGCGAGTAATAATGCTAAATTTCTCCAAATCTGTTGCAGTGAAGAAACAAACTCATCTTGGATGGCCCAAGTGTAAGTTCATTTTTAAGCACATTTTCTTTTGCGGGTGAACTATTCCTTTAACCACAACTAAAACATCTCATAGCTACTGCTTTTAAAGAAAAAATAAATAAAACCATTAAACATATGAAATGTCTTTATTTCACTCTGGTTTCACTCGCATTGTGAAAATCATCCATTCATTGCACTCGTGAAAGCCATACTGTGAAATTCAAAACGTTTCTCTCTCCAGCTCATTTATTTCTGCTTCAACTATACAATAAATCACTATTCTTGCATGCTTGGCGCGATATAAAGCATGAAGTTAAAATATAAAAAGGCTCTCCAGTGGGCCAGTCTGTCATGGTTATCAGTTTTGCTGATTTCAGTGCTCAAGGATACTGACTGAACGACCAAAAACACAGAAACGGCACCAGACTGTCGTAAATAACCCTCTGTGTTTTATGGAGCTGAAAGCTAGCTTAAGCATACAGGTTCAATACCAAGAGATAAACACTGTTGATTTATTGAGCTGGTATTTACAGTGAACGACGATGGTGTGAAATGAACGGGTGCCAGTTACTGGTTGGTAGTTTTCCAAGTGGATGTGCCATACAGAAGCTGTAATCGCAGGTGTGTGTGTGTGTATGTGATGAACTGGGGTGTGTAACGAAGTCAGTCTGCAGTGGAGCTATAGGTGATCGTTTTGTCCTCCAGGAGGCACTGCGAGACCAAGATCTCTAGCAGGAGTCCAAGACGAGGCAGATCTGCTCAAAGACATCTTCTGGGGGCTGCTCGGCATCAATCTACATACACGCACACAAAACACGGCTGTTAGAAATCAGAAGCTGAAAAGTAGGGCATCAACCCACAGAAGAACTGTCAAACAGCGCTAATAAATCCAACAAACATGCAGCTGCTCTGAATGTGTTTATCTCTTAACATATATAGAGACACAGGTTCATCTCTCTGCTTTATGTTGTCATCACCATCACTCGATCGATATGAATATAGTATAGCGATTCCATTCTGTTCTAATAAAAGTGTGTTCCACCAGGAAACAACCTATAAAGAGGTTATAATTACAGATGCCCTAAGATTAAACCATTAACAGAGTATTGCATTTTCCTTTGCTATATATATATATATATATATATATATATATATATTTACTGTGCGGAGACGTGCTGATATCGCATTTGGTCTCGTTCTGTATCGTGTATCTTGCCAGTGTTTGCGCTTGCTTGGCCATTTGTTGTGGAAAAAATAAGGAAAAGTGTGTTCAAGCGTCAGCAGAAAACAGTGTAAAGAAATACTCTTTGAGAGAAGCAGTCTTTATCAGCGGAAGTTAAAAGCAGCTTGTAACTGTATTTACTTATGGTGCGTTCAAGTCATGTTGGATAGATCGTATTTACGAGTTGAACGCACATGAACGCCACCACAAAGTCGTTATTACGAGTGGGAAACTCAATTTTCTTTAAGCCCCGAGTTTCCAAGTTGGGGGCGTGTCAATGAGAAACATGGCGGAATCGATGGATGCAACGTCTGTAGTTGACGGTAAATGTTTGTTTAAATTGATAGTTTAGTTGTCCTATAAACTTAAATTGGTCATGTTCTTGTTACGCAGCTGAAATCCAAGTAAAAAAAAAGCAGACCCTGTTGTATTTTCTTGTAATTTATTAAAAGAAGGTACACCGCCATCTTGTGCCGACTAAACTGACTTGAACGCACCTGACGTCGTAATTACGACTTGTCAACTCGTAAGTGTGAACGTCCCAGGAGGACTTGAATGCAGCATTAGTGTTTAGTGCAGTTGTCGTTGCTAGGAAGTGCTTGTTTTGTTGTTTGTGTGGAGACGTGCTGATATTGCGTTTGGTGTCATTCTGTATCGCGTATCTTGTCAGTGTCTGCGCTTGCTTGGCCATTTGTTGTGGAAAGAAATAAGGAAAGTGTGTCCAGCTGAATTAATTTAGTATGTTGTTAGACGGGTATAAAAAAGCTTAGTTTACCGCGGCAGCCGTCACGTGACGGCCTCCTCGTGTGAAGACCGAAGAGTGTAAAGACCATAGACTCTACCGTGTGACTCCACCGGGCAGGGACACCGGCAAAGGTAAGTATTGCTTTTTATTTCTCCTCTTTCCTATTACTTGTTTCACTTCTGTTTCAGTTTTTATAACCATTTCTTACTATGTGTAAGTAGGTTGTTGTTTTTTAGCATGTGTGCTTGGCAGTGTTATTTTTTAGGATTACAGATAAACTACTGTCATTTGATTTGTATTATTTGTATTTGTTATTTATTTTCATTTTAGTTACATTATGTCTGAATTTATTATGTCTGTATAGGTCTTTTATTAAGTTTTACTTTTATTTAATTTGAAATAATATATATTGAATTTATAAATGTGTGTATATATATACTGTATATATATGTATGCGTGTGTGGTTGTACACACACATATGTAGTTTATTTTGTGCGTGTTTGGCTTAGTGTTATGTTAGAATCATTATTATACTCATACCATTTGTTCTTTAATATTTTGAATTGTTTTTAGCTTTATTTTTAGTTTTTCATTTAAATGTTAAGTTTTGAAATTTTGTTGTATGCATTTGTCATTTTTATTTAATTTCTTTATTTTTAAAATCTGTATAAGTAATATTTATAAAGTTTTAGCTTTTAGTTTTGGATCTGTTTTTAGTTGTTTTAATACTACAATTGATTGCTTCTGTTGTCCTCATTTATAAGTCGCTTTGGATAAAAGCTTCTGCTAAATGACTAAATAAATATATATACGTATATATATATATGCATGAGTGGCAAGCTATTATTTTGTATTACACTGACGCACTAACAAAAAAACCCCCAGCTTCCTAGCTTTTGAGCTATAAATATCATTTTATAGATGTTGGGGTGGATTTACATTTGCGTGTCTGTTACTTTGAATAAATAGATTTAAATGATTCTTATCTTTAAATGACTTAATGGGTGAACTGCTCAAAGAGCAATATCTACCAAATGAAATATTATGAAAAATATCTGTTTAATAGCAGAAATCTTGTATGCCTTTTAAGATTTATAATATTTCCCAAAATTTTCCAGGTTTGCAAATCACAAAAAATCCACACATTAAAAATGTACAACCATGTTTTTTTGTACATGTACCACAGCAGTACCAATGTATTCTTTGAAACACCTTTGTGAACCATGGTAACGATTCAGTAAAAATGCTAATTCTGTCATTTATTCACCATCATGTTATCCCAAACCTGTATTACCATCTTTCTTCTGCAGGACAACAAGATATTTTAGTGAATGTTGGTAACCAAATATTTTTGGTGAGCATTGACTTCCATTGAATGGATGGACCAAAAAAAAAAAGACATTTCTGAAAATATCTTTTATGTTCCACAGAAGAAAGTAACATGAGGGTGAGTAAATGACAGAATTTGCATTTTTGGTTGAACTATCCCTTTAAAAGACTGCTTCCCTTCCCCAGAGATCAGATGATGCTTTTGCTTATAAATCAGATGCACTCCAGCTAGTGAAAACATCCTGACATGACAAACCCAAATCTGGTTAATATGGATGCCCTTTGTGTAGTCAAAATAAGTCATATATATTTGAAGGATTTATTTTAAGGATGGATGTCAACAACAGACTCAAATCATTAATAAGCTACTCTGCGCTGATCCTAAGATGCTCTCCTGAGCTTGAGGTCAGTGTAACCAGTCAAAATGTTCCATTCACAGATCCAAATTACACTGAAACGGACTAATTGTAGCTTGGCTTTTCCATACCCACCTTGTGCAGAGCTTCTCTGTGTTCGTAGTGACTGACCAGGGGATTGACCAGGCTGCAGAATCCGTCCACCCTACGGCGAGTGTCTCTGTCTCGGGCTTCTTTAGTGTGCAGGCTGCAGGTGGCCCTCTGCTGCAGCCTTCGACTCATGATGTCTGCAGAACATTCCAGGAACAGAGCTATGTCGGGCTGCCCCATCTATAACACAAACATATATTTCAAGAAAGGGAACGAAAGGAAACAAGCACTGAGAGCCAGCCATTTTTTTTGTTTTTTGAGATGCAGCCAGTGGTGTCTATCATGAGCATTTCAAAATATGTTGTGCTGGTGTTTCTAGTATATTTAGTGCTTTAATCACAATTATATATTACTATATTTACTATATTGGATTTCAAACACTGTTTGGATGGTTTCATTGTGTCTTCTTTTTGGTTTAAAGGGTTAGTTTGCCCATAAATGAAAATTGACCCACAACCTATCATTTCGACTTTCGTACAATTTTAGGGGGGACATAAAGACATTGTGAAAATAATCAATATGTCTGGTTTGAATAGCGATATTTAACAAAGAGTTTTTGACAATGAACATAAGCAAACGGATCCCCCATTCTATTCTTGACATACTACACGTGCTTCTTCCGACAACATGACAAATGGATTTGAAAAAATTGCTTTGTTGTGTACGGTGTTAGAATATTGCTAACCATATTCTTTTGCAATTTAAGCCCCAAATGTGACCCTGGATCACAAAACCGGTCTTAAGTCGCTGGGGTATATTTGTAGCAATAGCCAACACCACATTGTATGGATCAAAATTATCGATTTTTCTTTTATGCCAAAAATCATTAGGATATTAAGTAAAGATCATGTTGTATGACGATATTTTGTAAATTCCCTACCATAAATATATAAAAAATTAATTTTCATTAGTAATATGCATTGCTAAGGACTTCATTTGGACATCTTTAAAGGTGATTTTCTCAATATTT